GCCCACTCACAATAGGTCAGCTCAGAATAACTAGAAAGGGCTGACCGACCATGTTCAGTCACCCCTGGAGTCATTAATCACACAACTGTGCAGATGAGGCAGCACGAGCGCTTACATTTGCACACACGCACACGCACGCACACACACACACACACACACACACACACACACTTAATGTCTGGCGTTCAGACTAGTGGATTGTATTAGACTTCAAAAAACAAAGCTCGTCGATAAGCATTTGTATTTATTTTTGACATTTGTTTGAGTGGCCTTAAATTAGCAGTGATCTTGCGAATTACCTACACACACACACACACACACACACACACACACACACACACACACACACACACACACACACAAACAAAAACATGGCTTGAAAAAGGCCTTGACACTCTTAACAACACATCACATCACGTTAGGTGGTGATAAAATGCAGCTTGTATCACATATCCAAGACTCCAGAGATTTATTTGACATCCCCGCTGTTACAAAAAAAAAAAAAAAACAGCGCTGAAGCAGCGTGTCGCAACCTTCATATTCCGAAACAGGTTGCTCAGCTTGCAGCCAGATCACAATCAGGACAAAGATCTCAGATAAAGTTTCCATTTGGCGGCGACGGAATTCTTCAAAGAGGAGTGAGCGTCTATGTTGGTGTGTGTGATACGCATGGTGAAATGCTGTTGTGAATCTGCATTTGGCTTGGTCTAACACTTGCATGATTTGTAATTAAGATGTAAGTTTTCCTCCTATCATCGCTTGCATCATAAGTCATCTTTCCACTTTTACATGGCCAAAACGTCACAGTGAAAACACACAATTTTGCCACAAATGGCCCAAAATTCTTCAACCACTTACTAAATTAAAAAGATTCACATACTTTTCCACCCTGCACTGTGACGTTCGTCTATGCGTGTTTGTGTGTGTCTTGTCTCTGTAGCAAAGCAGCCCCAGAAAGTAAACAGTGGGTCTATTGTTGTGTCTTAAAATAAGATCACATCACATTTTATGACCAATTGGTAAGAAAGTTATGTAATTCCAAAGCTTCCCATACTTTTTGGGAATTGTATACATATAAATTACACACTGAAAGTGAGTGGTATTCGGCTTTCAGGATGAAGCGAAAATGCACAGAAACAAAAGTCACAGAAAAAGGACGGGCATAGAAGGGGACTTTGAAAAGGTATTGGTTGATTCATGGATCAAACATAAGTTATTTTCTTGGTCAGCTCAGTAAGTTGTGCAAAAAGCACTGAAAAATTAAAGAGTTGGATATGTGCATTCAAAAGTTTACAGAAGGTTAAATTAAGTTCATCTTTAAAGGTTTGAGTGCATTTTAGGTTGTGCTTGAAATTGCACCCACAATCCCGATATCCTTAACTTTTTGAGTACTGTATATTTAGTATATGCAAGCACGTCAGTAACGTAGCATGTTAAACCACTGCTGATTGGCATTCTTGACGACAAACGGTGAATCATATAAATCCGCTTGTGACCTCAACCACTTATTTCCCTCTCTTTCATGACACAACTGTCACTTTGACATTAAATCAGCACTGTCAGTGGAAGTATAGCCTGCTGCTACATTCTCTGACATTGAAGATTGCGGTCTCATATTTACTTGGCTCTAAAAGTGGCGTCAATCTCATCTAAGAGTCTCAAAATGACAGTGATGTTGCTTCAATGTAAAATCTAATAATCTGTTAAAAAAAAACCTATAACCTAACAAACACTATATATATTTTTTTTTAACACTAACTTAGAGATAATCAGGTACTTGCTAATTATATCATACGAGGATTTGTGATATTATTGCACAGTACTTCTTACTGGGTAAAAAAAAAAAAAATCTTCTGGGCCATTACAGCTATATTTTCATGAGATAAGGGGGAACAGTAGAGTTCAGTGGAAGTCTCCAGCATCGCCATAGCATCATCCAACTAGCGATCCAAGCATCAATATTTTATACAGCTTGCCCACATTTGGGTCAAAGTAGCGTGAGCTGGCTTAGGGTGACAAAGATTGATTGATATCGACTGATTGTGAGAGGAGAGATTTTGTTCAAACATTTTATCAACAGTCTATAAGGCTGTAGTTTTTATTTACAGAAGTCATTTAGGATGAATGGTTTCATATCTATGTATGTGGGAAGAATGATTGTGATAAAATTCAACATGCCTCCCACACACACACTCAAAAAAAAAAAAAAAAGGATGAGTATCATGAATCATCCCTTTCTGTATTGGAGTAACCGCAGACTGTGAAGCGACACAACCGCAAAGAAAATGTTGCCATTCGTAACAGATTATTGTCACACCACGAGACAGACTAAGATGGAAAGCTTGGGAAAGATTTTTAACATCCACCTGAGTCAACGTAATGTTCAACATCTGAATGCTAACGACAACTTTCCTCATCACAGAAGTTGTATCGGACGACACAAATCAACACCAATGACACTTGTGCAACATACGATACGGCCGTACAATGGCATGCTATAAGCTTATGGAAATATTTTGCCAAAATGAGACCGGTGGCACGGTCAATTAGAAAATACGTAAGCCTAACCTCAAACACCAGAACACCACAAGAGAAATAGAAACACTGAAATGGAGAAATGCTTTGATTTTTGCTAAACGAAGGTCAGTTTTATTTGAACCCTTTCACCCACCAATAAGGATTAACCTGTAACCTGATAACATGAGAAGCTGTCCACTGTAACCGCTGTCCCTTGAAAGGGTTAATCATTTTTAAAAAATGTGTTACTATACCGGTCTGTCGAAATACGTCATAGCTCATCATAATTGAGGACCGCTTGTCCTTTGATATAATTAAATCAATGACATAATCAATTAGCTGACTCAAATGTCATATTATCATTGACCAACAGAAAAGTGTTATGTTGTTCAGACCCCTCACACACACACACACACACACACACACACACACACACACACACACACACACGCACACACACACAACACAAACAGCCCCCCCGGCATCTA